TAGATAGATAGATAGATAGATAGATAGATAGATAGATAGATAGATAGATAGATAGATAGATAGATAGATAGATAGATAGATAGATAGATAGATACAATATATGCTTTATTCGAATATTTATTACCTTATTTCCCTTCACTGTTATGTCAGTAAGATCAAGCCTGTAGATGTAGTTCCTGCAAGTAGAAACATAATCATATTAACAATCAGTTTAATGCGCAATCAAACAATGGAATAAGCATCATCATCATGAGCAGCAGCACCCCCACCACCGCCATGCACTACCAGAGCAGCAGCAGAAACCGCAATAGCAGCATCACCTGCAGCAGCACACTACCAGTAATAGTAGCAGCAACAGCAACAGCAGCAGCAGCAACAACAGCAGCAGCAACAACAGCAGCAACAACAGCAGCAGCAGTATTACATACATCCAGCTTCTACACGTAATTATACGTGAAATTGGCATTGGTCGATAACTTACAGATTCATCATCACATCTGCAGACATACAGTTAAAACAACGTTATTCAATGCTGCAGACATCTTTTGAATTGATTTGCCAACAGCTGTGATCGGAGATCCATCAAACATATAATAAGAATGCCAAGGGCTAAACTTAACATGAAAACACTAGCATGGTAGCCTAGAGATGACTGTCATATCCACAGCCAACGTACCCCAGGCTACCAGAGAAAAAACCAGTTATAGTTTACAAGTAGTATAAATAACCCGTGTAAGTGAGTGAAAATAATGTCTCCAACCTTTAGTGAAGAATTCAATGGCCGTCTGGGCCGCCATACTCAACGAAAGAAATAATAAAGCCATTTTGCCATTCGCAATATAAGGAACGAAACTTTATTCAGGAAAACAGTTCTAAAGACGCCGACGCCTTGTAACCTAATCTCATTATAATTTAGTTAGAAAGAGAGGAGAAGAGAGAGAGATATACATAGATAGATAGATAGATAAATAGATAGATAGATAGATAGATAGATAAATCAATATGTATATATATATATATATATGTGTGCGTGTGTGCGTGCGTGCGTGCGTGCGTGCGTGCGTGCGTGCGTGCGTGGGCGTGCGAGCGTGCGTGTGCCTGCGTGCGTGCGTGCGTGTGTGTATAAATAAATAAATATATATATATATATAGATAGATAGAGAGAGAG